ATGTCTCCAGATCTTTACTGGTTGATTATTTTCTTTATTCCAACCCCGCTGATTTTTATTTTTGGTTACCCCTGCCATAGCTCTTTAGGGGGGCGCCTCCAGCGCATCACTGCATGCACATCGCACCTATTTGCAGTAGATCATTCTGTTAAATGAGGAAGTTATGCCCCCTAAAAAGCAGTTGCGCCTCGGGACCTCCCCACCGGTTCTTTTCCTGGGAGCAAGTTACTTTCTACTCTTAACTCAAACTGGGTAAAACCATATAAAAAAAAGGACTATAAAAAGAGGAGTTAAAAAAGTAACAGAGTTTATTGCAGATCAGGTCGTTACAGGACAGAGAAAAATGCTTGGAGCTTGCACAGCTGTGGGCTCAAAATTTCATGTCTGCGAGCGTCCGGCAAAGATTGAGCCCCAAACAAGGTCTTCTCCTGCTTCTTATAGCTCATGGGTCTATGTGTTGCACCAGGGGCCTGAGCGCAAATAACTTAATTCATTTATGTCATTATCGGCTTCAATCTCCTCAGACCCCAGTTGGCCTTGGCAGATGGCAGCTCACACTAAGGTCGTTTCTCAATATATGTACTTGTGCATTCTCATGTGCTTGTGTACTTGTGAAACGTCATCAGCCTCAGCCCTAGTACTGTTCCAATTGACAAAGACAGCATACCAAGAACGGACAAAGTCCCCGGATGTTGTTCTCGCCCCTTCCTCTTTACCCAGCATGCATCAGAGCAGACTTGTGCGTTCTTGACACTGACAGCTGTCCCAGCATGCACTGCAGCAGCAGCAGCCACCAGTTTAGCGCTGACAGAGCTCAGAGTATTAAGTTAAAAGTTCTCTTTTCTGTTGCTGTTGTTCAATAAAGTACGTTTTAAGATCATCTGAGGCGAGAACATTAAACTTTTAAGCGTCACTATATGGACCATTTACCAATGTAATGCAAAATGTTTTTCAAAAATTTGCAAAGTTGAGAAGACCGCGGCAACCAGCAGACCTCCGAGGGTAACGGCAGCAAGGGCTAACCACAGCCCGTCTGCAGCAGCCCTCTCTCTGCATTGCCGTGTGTGAAGGACCGCTCGCTCTGATGGAGAGTTTTTTTTATTTTATTTGGCAAAACGTTCATTTGATTTGTGTTTATCTGACTGTTAATTTTTCTTCCCCCACTAAATGAAAAAAATCATTACTCATTGTTATCTAGAGACTATTATTAACAGGAGGAGAAACGCAGCATCAGACGAGCCGAGCATGTGGTGATGTCATCAGTACACTTCTGTTCCAATTGACCCATAATTATGCTGCATGCTCCCGTTCTCCCTGAGTCCACACTTTCCTGTGTTCTTCTCAACAATATACTTGTCGAGCATACGACTCTGTACTCGCGTTCTTGTGAATTGAAAAATGGCCTAAGCCTTGTTCTGGTTCTGCTGGAGGTGTCTTCCTGTTACAAGGGAGTTTTCCTCTGCACTTTCACAACATGCATGCTCGGTGTGAGGGATTGCAGAGTCAATGAGTCGCTGCAAGCAGCTGGTTTTCCTTAGACAGAAACATTTAAAAGAATCTGATTGTGTTACAAAAATAAATAAATTGAATAATACTTTCCTAACTGCAGCTTTTCTCTGTGTGAGTCTGTCAAGGTTGAAATAGCCAAAAGTATAATTGTATGGTAAATAAGAAGCAACTCTTTGTCGTCAATGTGCTGTTTTAGGTATTCAAGGTACTAAATTAGCCTTCTGTTTAAAGGCTGTAGTTCTTATCACTTTGATGGTAGAAAAATTAATTGTGTAAGTAACTAATCTTTGTATATTGTAAAGGAAGGTGTTGGCAATGGTTCTCTAGTGCTTTGTACGGTAACCAGAGATGTCTACTAAGGAATTTGTACTTAAAGTAGTTACTCTACTTAAGTAGCTTTTATGGAGTGAATTTTATTCTATTTTTGTTGAAAGCAAAAATTACAAAAATTACATTTTGAATGAGATTATACAAAAGCAAGTCCGACCACTTACTATATGATTATTTTAGCAGTTAATACATTTTTAGCTTTAACTCAGTTTGCTCCTTTTAACTGTAAAGCAATTCAAAGTACCTTGTTTGTATTTAGTGGTGTATAAATATTAATTTTTTGTCTTTATTTAATAGTGGTAAAAGATAAAACCAGGTGTTAAACATTGCATGCTATGGAAAAATATAACTGAATTCCCTCTTTAGACTGCATTAGATAATAATTATAATAACTGAACTTAATTGATATGACTTTGGTGAAATATACCTCTGTCTTTAACCCATCCCCTTTAGGCTGCCATTGTGTGGCGCCCAGGGAGCAGTATGGGGTTAAGGGTCTTGTTCCTAGACCCAGAGTGGAGGCTGTGGGAGTGGAGCTCATACTCAGAACCTCAGGATTCCACGCTCTATGCAATAACAACTAGGCCGCCACATCTCCACCGTGATGACAGTTATGACAGGACATTTTTGTTTGCCTCTTATTAAAGAATTTGAATGCAGCACACACTTATGAACAATGTTTTATTGGGTCTCACTTCTGGAATTGATACAACCCAAGTAGGTCCATGTGACGTGAAATTCACTGTATTTAGGATAAAACAGCATTTTACTTCCTCAGAACGGCTTCTCATGTAGAAATATTAGATGTAAAAATGGATTGTCGAATCTGCCATCCCAAGAGACAGCATAACAAAGAATCAACAAATGTTGGAAAAGCATAACATGCACTTACTTACACAAACAGCAAGACTCACTTCTAGAGTTGCAAAGGTTTTTAATCCTACATACAACTGAACCTCTCCATTACAAACACCAACAAGGCTGAAGTATTTTGAAAATTAAGGACAAAATACAGTCTGTACTGAATCTACATTGCTCTTACAAACAAGAACAAAATGAATTGCCAAAGCAAACACTAAAACAGAGATCTTCACAGCACACTGTTTACTGCTGGCCTTCAAGGTGCTTGTTAAGGATGCCCTTTGCCACCTCCAGGGCAGCCTCAGCTGCAGCAGGAATGTGGGGTTTTACACCAACTCCCTCCCAAGTTGGCCCAGCCGAAGCGTCGGAATGGACCGTGGGGATGCTAAGGAAGATGTTGCTCTCACCAACTGGGAATACCTTCGGTGGATGGGAAGCCCCGGCGGTAGTCTCTCCAATTATCATAGCACGGCCTTGCTTTTTCATGATGTAAACAAACTCCTCCGCGGCACCCGCTGTAACCTTGCTGGTCAAGATGATGAGACTTTTCTTAGAGCCATACCTTACGCCTAGATGAGAGTCAAGCATACAGTTAGAAACCTCTAAAGCCTGGTTTAAACTCAGAAACCAGGTCGTCTGGTTGTGTGTGTCACAGTTAAAGTCGTAGGGAAGTCATATTTAAATGTCAAATCATTCTGGCTTAAACATGTAAATAAATGTACTCTTTATCAGACTATATTGTCCCAAAAGTTAGAAAATTTCTATTAAAAAAAAAAAAAATCCTGTCTTGAAATCTGTTATCTTATGCAGGCCAATTAGTTATACGTCAGCCTGAACACCTAAATTCGGCCAATCATATATCAGCGGTCGTCTGTCAATCAAATTTTTTAAGTCATAGCATCTTGATTTGTATGTTGCAGCTAATATACGCAACGGTTGAAATAAGAATCATTATTTACTTTCCCATTGAGCTCCGTCCCAGTGTTCATGGGGATGGACGTCTGTGTCTTCAGCAGGCGTAGAGCTAACAGAACTGGCAG